AGTGGAAAAGAAATTGTAACCTTATAAGACCAGTATTTATAAGGTTACAGCACGGGTTGCAGCTGTGTTATTATGGGTACTGGGAGTAATAAAGTTATGCAACAGTGTCGCGATGGCTCATAATGTTTGAATCGGGATACAGAAGCCTTGACATTCAGCCACGGTCAGAACAACAACAAATGTTGGATCACAACAATTTACGCCGCGAGTTGGAGTCGAACCCAGCTGCTATACTACCATCTACTCATATATTAGTCAAAGTCCTTGAGCTATGCAATACCATTTACATTGCGCATAATTAAGGCTCCGGGGCTACACATTTTCACAGAGAATTGACATAAACGACAGCTCGGGAAGCTTATGTTAGTAGCTTTTGCTTAAACCGCGAAATAGAGAGTTCATATCTGAGACTGCAAACTGAACGGCAGCAAGTGCGGGCGCGGGCGCGGTGACCAATGAATAAATAAGTTATTAAACATAGAAATTTCGTACTCGGGAATTATATTAAATATACAAACTGAAATGAACGAACTGACCACTGGCGTCGAGAACGAGCCCATTTTCCCGGGTCTAAAAGCATATTCTGTTTCTCCGTAAACGAAGTTTATCTATTTATATCCACAAGGAAGGCCTTAGCCTCTACAATGGGGACGCACAAAGGGCTGATGATGATAATGATGACTAAACTGAAACGGACAAGCAACATGTTTGGACTAAAGTGTAAGTTTAAAAACATGGCTTTAAATAACATCTAGTTAAGACAGTGCGAGTCATATGCTCTCGTCTTGGCGACATTTTGTATGAAAATGTTTTGTGGGGCATATTTACTGGTGAAAATCAAAAAGATACCAAAAAATAGCAAAGAAAATTACTCTTAACACAAAACACAAAGGAGACAGGCAGCGATAATAACAGATAAATAATAAAAAGTGTTAAAAGTCATAAAAAAACAAATTTATAAAAACATTTTACTTTAGTGACTGGTAAAGTTATCGTCAACAAATTCTAAATAAAGGATGTTTTATTCGTCATACGATTGTGTGTCAACCCTACTAGTAGTCGGTGTGTCGGCACAACTCAACAAGCCACTCTACCGACAATGAATACGTAACGAGGCTCTCGTGGCGCGGATATTTTTGTGCCTCCCCTTTAGCTCTTATCTTAGAAGATACACCTCGAGCATACTCAGACCTTTCCAGAACAATGTAACCGATACCGGTTGTCGTTATAAACACGGTCGAACTTGTCAACCTGGGTTTTTCAATTGGAATATTACTATTAATAATGATCATACATTTTATTGCACCCGAAAGAGACAATAAAAAAACAGGAGACTACAAGGTGTGAGAATATAGAGTAATATAGTTTGGGGTAATCGCGAATGCGGGGACATTTTAAAAATTATATTAAACAAGAAATATGTTTGTTCTATCAAATTTAAAATATTTTTCTGATTTGGTGGTAATTCGTCATTTTTGAAAGCATGCTTTCGGTATTAACCCAAAGCACTATACATAAAAGTTACACAGAAGGCTTTAATTCTAAACAGCAATCGCTCCTAGGTAACCTATACAACAGAATAGTAAATGGCAATAAAAACAGGTGAAGACGTCAGATTACTCACTTGAATGTACGTAGATATAATTCAATCAATAAAATATATTTCTCTCAAAGTGCCAACAACCTGTGACAACAGCACGACAACTAATATCTAAAGGAACTGTTAAAATGCAATAAAAACTTTTAAAAAACAAATCAATACTCACGTATCACCAATAGTACTCGATCGGTCGTAACCGGGGCAAGTACCACCCACCGTCGTTGGGATCCGTCTTTGAGGACCATTATCTTTCATAAAATTGAAATTACTGTTTTTGGTAAGCACATTCGATGGACTGGCTACGAAGTCTTTAGTTAGTAAATCGGCATACAAACAATCTGTTTATGATAATGTTCAAGTTAGGTAACAAATACTTTATATTTGAAAAATGCTTAAAAAATCCACTTGGTCCCTGGCACCCTGAGATGGGATTCGAACCCATGACCTTTCGCAATCCGAACGATTGTTCTTACCACTGAGCTGACACTGAGTACTTTTTAAATTTTTCGCCAATACAGAACGTATTCTCATCAATGTTCAGGCAATCCACCCAAACAGCCGAAAGAAATATTTTTACAAATATTTAAACTTTGATATAGATATTTTTTTTTCAGTATAGCATTATGAATGTGAAATTTATCAAATATAATAATTTGAATAAATTTCCACCTTTACCGAGAGTTTAAATGCCTATTTGTAAAAATATTTCTTTCTGCTGTTTGGGTGGATTGCCTGAATATTGATGTACGCTCTGTAGTAGCGAAAAAGTAACGAGTGCTCGATTCATCAGTCCTGTTAGGTCCTGGATAGCTCAGAGCAGTCGTCCGGATTGCGAAATCCTATCTCAGGATGCCAGGGAACAAGTGGATTTTTTTAAGCATTTTCAATTAGAATATTTTTCAATATAGCATAGTGAAAGTGAAATTGATCAAATATAATAAATAAATAGGATTAACATTTCTAAAAACAAACAAAAATAACGTTATCTCATGATTCACCTTCCATTATTTAGATCTCACATCGAAGCTCGGTCGAGGAATACTAAAGCTATTCTCGATTTTACTTTGCAATTCACAAGCTACGCCAAGGGACATATAAGCTGATAAAAATGTTACCGCAATGTAGGACAAGTGGTGTTGGGTCAGCGGCTTTAATCGCGATCGCTCGAGGACCTAATGACGACCTAATTTATATATAGAATCTCTGCGAAGCATGATATATATTGATATATGAAAAATGGAAAATTAACTTATAAATATGATTCGGAGAGAGTGAAAGACATCTGAAACGAAATCAAACTAGATTGCGTTGGTTGCTTTTAATACTAACCGGTGTTACCACATTTTGTGGCGCCCAACGTAGGATCTTAATGTCGGAGCAGCCGGCTTTAGGACAACATCATACGGGTTTCTTTTGTTTCCCTATTTTGCTATTTTTTGTATGCAAAAGGTAACGCTAGCGTATACTTATAACTTTCGTCAAGTATTATTTAACACTTATTAAATTTTAATATCCTAAGTAGCTCGGTGGCATAGAAGATAAGCGACGCGTACCGCGATCGTTGTTGTTAAGCATCTTTCGCAAGAGTCAGTCACGGGATGGGTGACCAAAAAATTATTATCTCGAGCTACTTCATGCTACGGATGGCACGTTAAACCGTTGGTCCAGGCTGCTTTTACAGTCGTTAATACCATCCAATCCGCATTGGGCCAGCGTGGAGGGTCATGACCCATCCTCCTTAACCATCCATAAGGAACAATGATATTAATATGTCTAGATACGCAATACATACCAAAAATCTGAAGCTACTAAAACTAAGACGTTTGTCTTAGTTTTTTCGTTTTGCACTTCATTACTCATTCAACTCCCGCCAAGAAAGTACAAAAAAAATGCTCCGTAAAAACAAAGAAAAACAGTAGATAAAATTCGATTCTCTTTCACAAATACACATAATACGAAAGAATATTAAGTTTCACACTTAAGTCATTAACATTTTTGGCAATAAATACAAAATTAAAGCTAGGTTAAAAAAAATATTTAATTTTTTCAAATAAAATTTCGACATTTTGTCGTCAGTGTTGCCACTGCTATTCACTTTCAATTTTCCCAAGTATATGGGAACCTTTTCTTTTTAATTAACGTGGCTATAATTTATCTAAATATCTTTTTATAATTAATTATATAGCTCAGCTTAAGTATAGGCAACTGCGCAAATTTTTTTATTCATGCACACAGATGCTAATGTGGTTTAATTTTTTCAATGCGTGGAATAATTCGTTAGTTGTCGAGATACAACTTTTGAAAATACGTAAAATAGTTTGTTTGATGTTTTATGAACTTTGACAAATGTTTTTGTCTTAACCACTAACTTTATCGAAAAACAAAGGGATATATATGCACAGAGCCTACTTTCGTAATTGTTTTTTGACGTGGATACGTCTATGTTTTCGTTCTACAGGGGGGTCATTCTGTGAGCAGGAGCTTATGCAGTAACGCCATCTATTGGCGTATAAGTGAACTATGCTTGCTCTGCAGGGGGAGGGGCATTCTGTCAGCAGGAGTATATGCACTAACGCCATCTGTTGGCGCTAGTGAATACTTTTTTCATTCAACAAATGAACGCAACGAATATTTATTTATTTAGTGTTTAGTCATACTCATATATCCATTCATACATAGACGTATCCACGCATAAAATATGTCTGTATCAATGATACAGCCAACCAGGGTTTTTTTTCAAAGTTACAGTATTTTACTAATTGATTTTATACATAAATCTACACTACTCGTTCATTCATTCATTCATCACAATGGGTGAAATTTGCGACAGCTGGCAATACAATATCAATTACCCATTTTTCCGTTCATTCTGTCGTTCGCGCATATTCTGTCTTTGTTTAATTTAAAGTTTAATCGTAGATATGAGGGAGATAAATATAATAAATCTATTTATATTATATAGTATAAATATTATTTGCAAAGCTACGTCCTGATTTCGGAAAAGTGCTACGCTGTTTGGCGCGTCTGTTGTATGGGATTGCTTCTCTAGTTATTAAACTCATTGATAAGGAAGGCCTGAGCCCCTGAGTCGTAAAAGGGATGATGATGATGATCCTAATTTAGCGGTATAGAGTAATAAAATATAATAAATCCTGATAATGGAACTAAAAACGAATTCTAGGGAACTAGATATAAAGTAAATTGTTATCGTAAGACGAAATAACAACAATTGACTTGATTTGAATTATGAACTAATCTTATTTTAAAACTTGTATATTTGTTTAGTTTGTGATAGATCTACAGCTTATAAATTTATTTCATTTACTTATCGTCATTTGATTTCGTATCTAATACATAAGAAATAAGAAATAAAGTTAACGAGGTTCTATATTTATTCCAGTGTCTCACACGACAGACGACCTCATCTTCCAGTGGGACCCTGATGTGCCACTGGTGGTGGACGAGAATATAGAATTGCCTCAACTCGAATTGGTGCAGAATCGAACTGCAGACTGCACGCAGGTTTATTCAACAGGTAAACAAACATAACTTTTGAAGAAATGTTGAACTGCTAGTGTGGAACTTAATCCACACTAAATCTACAATTCCGTAACCCTTGTTACATGAGTTAGATTTGCATACCGAAGATTCAGAACAAATTGTTCTTCGTGATTAGTCATATCTATAACAAGATGGCCGGTTACACCGCTTTATTTTCCACTTGAGTTAAATTTTAGCGCTTTTTAAATACTGGCAATTGGTATCTAATTGCTAGTTCGTATAATCCTTTTGTAAGAGATAGGCTTAAACGCTTTAGCTTAATTATCTGCCATGAGGTCTCGTCGTGAATTGGTTACAACCTATCGATATGAGTATATTTCAATTTTTGTCATACGACCAAATTCAGCAAACAATTATATTGTGAATATCTTAATTAAGACTCATGCTATCGCTAGAACTCAAGAAATTCTTTTTTTACAATCGTATAACAGAACTTGCGATCATACAATCACACCTAAATACTTATATCATATAAGAATCCTATCGGGCACCGTACGATTTATTGGAAAGAGACAGGTGACTCCTTGGTGTACTTAGGTCATACCATGAAAAATACACATACAAATTTTTTATTATAGTTTTATTACATTTATTATTTTTATTTTCCAAGATCGTTTTCTTCGCAAAGACAAAATTCTAGCCGTCGCTACCTAAATCAGTAACTATTTGTTCCAGGTAACTTCACGTGCTTAGAAGTCATATTCAAGCTAAAACGTCGGCTGGGCTATCATCTGTTCAACACCTATATACCGACATGTCTCATCGTCATTATGTCCGTAAGTTACAAATACTAAAGCGTATGATACCTTTATATGTCAAAAGGCATGCAACTATTTGAAATTACAAACGTAATAATAGTTCTAGAATGTCCACCACAAATACTTCTATTACCGATACACTTTTATGCTTATTATATTTATGATATTAAGATAAACAAATATTTTATGCTCGCGCAAACAGCGCGTAACGTCATTTATACTATCACTCCTATCAATGCTTATAGGGAATTCAACCTTATGCATCAAAAATAATAATTGTATTTTTTCCAGTAAGGTTTCTGTGCAATAAATAATGAAAATCCACGATTGGCAAAGATACTCTAAAATTGATGTGGATTGTGTTTTTGATTAAATCAATTAGAATTAAATAAAATTCCTTAAGTCAATATTAGGTACATCTTCAGTGCTAGTTAGTCGAAAATATTGTATCGAACGAAGAGTCGAACACAGTGTTGTCGCAGCATTAGAGTAGAGGTATACTCAAATAAAACTTTTATTACCTTTTGTAGGGTTTATTTGCTGGAAACTTCAATGCTGTGATAGCGCTGGGTTCATCACTACGTTTGAGGCTGTATTTTTACAGAATAGCAAAACTGATGTGCGTGGCTAGGAGATAAGTTTGTGATCTAAAATATGCTGAAGCTTAATCGCTGTGCAATTGCACTTGCACGTGTGGGTATTATGATATCTAACCCATATTTTATCAATTTGGTTGGTCGTGGGATTTGAAAGTTACTGATCTACCAAAGGTTCACGCTCTGTTAAATGTGACTCATTTGCAGCTGAAGATTAAGAACAATTACAATGAAAGGTCAGGTGAATGTAACTCGGGTTCAAATAAAACTGTATTGTATACAATATCTGTGTTTTGTTCCACAAGTTATTAAAGTAAAAAAATAAATAAAAATAATCTTTATTCAAATAGACTTCTTAAAATTACTTTTAAATCGTCCAATTTTTTTTTCCCACCACTCGTTCAGGACGTCTTTTGGCTGATAAGAAGAACGAGCAAAAACTCAACAGCTCTAATAGGAGTAATGACTTTCACAAAAACCAGATCAATAATATATTGATGTTTTTCGAAAATTATCTTGTTGCCATTATTATTAAATTATTATGTTATCAATATGACACCATAGTTTTTTTCTCTTTATTTATATTCATTCCCTATCACTCGTTCAAGACGTCTTTTGGCTGATAAGAAGAACGAGCAAGAAACTCACCAGTTCTATTAGGAGTAATGACATTCACAAACAGATCAATAATGTTTTGATCTGGTAATGACATTTTGTTTAATTGCTTTTTCTACAATATCACTAATAGAGTAATTAGGCATACAGCAGTTTAATGTTGAATGGCCCATATCGAACCATGTTTTTGCCAATTTCATCACTGAAAATTAAATTATTATTTTTATAATATTGTGAATTTATTGAGTGACGTTGGAAAAAATGTAATGGACAGCAGTCATCGGTGACAGATGACTGAACAGCTACGAGGGTCAAACTGAAAGTTCTTAGAACTGGCCACTTATAAACAATATAATAAAAAAATAATTCTAAAATTTGAAAATATAACTCTTTGCCAATATTACTGAGTATATATTTCATTCATTTGTCATTTGTTTTACGATTTGGCGGCAAATTGAAAATTGTCTGTGTCACGTCATCATGAATTTAACACGAGAAAATTTTCGTGCAATGATTTTTTATGACTTTCGATGTCATTTAAGTCAACAAGAAAGTTATGATAGACTACGATTGGCCTTTCACGACGAAGCCCCATCTCGTGCGACTGTTTACAACTGGTTTAATGAGTTTAAACGTGGTCGCACTAATCTCACTGATGATTTACGTGAGGGACGGCCTTCTACGGCGACGACTGAAGATAACATCTGTGTTGTGCGGCGTATGATAGAGACTGACAAAAGTGACCTATCAACAGATTCGGACAAGCTTAGGCATCGGTATGAGTCAAGTGCACAAAATCCTCCACGAACATTTAGCGGTCAGGAAGCTTTGCGCCCGGTGGATACCTCATAATTTGACTGAGGCTCAAAAACTCCATCGTGTGGATTGGTGTCGTAAAATGATTGAAAGATTTAACGGAGGTGACTCAAATGCTGTGTTCGACATACTAACAGGTGACGAAAGCTGGATTTACTGTTATGATCCTAAAACCAAAAGACAATCTGCTCAGTGGGTGTTTCCTTTTGAGGAGTTGCCAACTAAAGTGAAGAGAGATCGAAGTGCGGGAAAAAAAATGGTGGCCTCGTTCTTTGGAAGGATAGGTCATTTTGCAACAATTGTGTTAGAGGATCAAAAAACAGTTTCTGCAGAATGGTACACTACCAATTGTTTGCCACTTGTCTTGGAAAAAGTTCGAGAGAAACGACCTCGCAGTAGGATCCTCCTTCACCACGACAACGCCTCGTCGCACACCGCCAAGCGAACGATCGACTATTTGGCGACATCAAACGTTGAATTACTGGGTCACCCGCCGTATAGCCCCGACCTCGCGCCTTGTGATTTTTATTTATTTCCAAAAATTAAAGAAAAACTTAAAGGAAAGCGGTTTATGAATGCTGAAGAAGCGGTGGCTGCGTATCGCGATGCCATTGAAGAGACCCCTAAGGACGAGTGGGCAAAGTGCTTTTCCCAGTGGTTCCATCGCATGCAGCGGTGTATTGACGTGAATGGACAATATTTTGAAAAGATATAATAAAACTAATAACTGGCTAATGTAATCAGTTTTTGATTTTCTAAGAACTTTCAGTTTGACCCTCGTATCTTAGTACAGAGTTGTGCCTGGTGGGCAAGATGACTGACGGAGTTTCTGTTTAACTGAATGGATAATTCTTTCTGAATATTATTATTCTTGTAACTAATGCTGTTATTTGTTGCTTTAAGTAATTCTTTATTATTTAACAGTGAATGGTAACGGTTACCGTTGTAATTGCATAGGTCATCCAACTCTGTGGCGGACCTAAAATACTCATCAATCTGAGATTTTGCATCAAAATATTATTTTGTATAAATTTTATTGATTCATGTAATTTTTTATTTCAGATTGCAATTTTTTTGTATCCCGGTCATACATCTACCGACTTTCAATTAACCAAGTACCTGAGTTGCATGTGTCCATTGTTCTAACCTAAAAAAAAACTATAGTGCGTAAATTACACACAACAATGAAGTTGAAGATTGCTTAAAAATCTTTATGAATTTTGTAACACGGATTATGAAAACCTTTATTCCATTTTTGGATTAAAAAATATCGATGATCAAACAAAAGAGCATACCAAATTTACCTCCAACCAACAATTGGTGATGCCGGTACAAGGGTAGATACCGTGTCAGAGATGTGACTGTTTTCTTCAAAAACCCCTGGAAGACTACCCAATAGATGGTTTTAGTACGATTTGAGACGTAAGAATAAATTTTTACTTACTTCAAATTCTCAATTCAGAAACCGGGTGTATGTATAACGCTCAATGAATGATAGCCCTTCCAAATGATCTGCCAGAGATTTCAACAAGCTGTCATTTTCTCAAATTGTACTTTTACAAATTGTTTTTATGATAAATAATAATCTATATCGATAATACTATAAAGTTTCCATTTGTCCAGCTATGGAAAAATTTGGATATGTTAGCTCATGCACTATGAACGATTCAATTCGATTCGATTCCATCCATAAGGAAAAGATTGAACCCCAGCAGTTAGGATATTAATAGGATGGTGACGTGAATATCCACTTTGCTTTCCTTCATAAGTTAGCATCACTTTTACCAACCAAAGTAGACTACAAGATGACAGTCTATGCAACTTATAAGATGCAGCATACTAAGTGACGTTGTGCTGTCCCGTTAGCACGTTATGTGGCGCCACCGCGTCATAGACGGCAGAAGAGACTCCTGGAGCTACTTTTGCATGATCAAGGCCGCTCATTCGTTGGGTGGCCCCATATTTATTATTTATAAACTTTTCCTTACTTCCAAAGGAACGTTAAATCGTTGATTCTATGTACATATACAGTTGTTTGCACTCACTAATCTGTGGTGGGTATATCATACATAATAAAGACATGTGCTGTGGGAATAATAATAGGCTGATAATAATGATGTTGCGCAGTGGGTCTCGTTCTGGATCAAGCCGGACGCGGCGCCGGCGCGGGTTACGTTAGGCGTGACGTCACTGCTGACGCTGTCTACGCAGCACGCCAAGTCGCAAGCGCAGCTACCACCGGTCTCATATCTGAAAGCCGTTGACGCTTTCATGTCAGTCTGCACCGTGTGAGTATACACCTTGTTCGATTTGAACATTCATTTGTAATGAGTATTTTAGCATATCGTTAGTGAATTTGCTTATTGCCGAAATGAGTCTGAATAAGTCAGCATTTAATAGAGCGGTCGCTAGAATGTAGTTGAGTCTGAATAAGTCTTTTCATAAGAATTATGATATTTGGCTTAATGTTCAGTTTGATAAATTGAAATACAACGAATCGTCGATGTTCTGTTATAAGTGAATGCTAAAGCACCTTTAAAGCTGCGTCCAACAGAAAGAGTGCTGTACTTAATGTTGTCGAGAAATTGATCAAATAGTGTCAGGGATATAAGTATTTATGGAATAAAAAAAAATATCTCATATTACGGTACTGAGTTTCTATATCGGATAAATTTATTTTTCTGGGTGAGAACAGGTTATCAAAATCAATAGTTTCAGTGAATTGTTCTTTCTTACATTCATGTTTTTTGTTACATGCAAATATTTTTTATCTTATCAAGCTTTACTTGCACGATACATGTTTCTTTATAATCTCCTTCCAGATTTGTGTTCATGGCTTTAATGGAGTACTGTCTTGTGAATATTGTTCTTGGGGATGGAGCGGGTAAACCTAAGGTAATTTATCATTAAAACTAGTTTATTATTTTGATTTATATTTTAGAGTATAGCGCTCATAATTTCAAGCACTTCACAATTGAGGAAACTGGTTAATTCACATAAAAAAAATCCTCTCATTACCTATAGTCTCCTGCGAAACTTTTAATACTGTAGTGTGATGGGTTCGATGCTCGGCCGAATTAATGAAAGACTGGCTAAGCTTGAGAATTGATTTATTTTATGGTAATAAAGTAAAGGGTAAAGAAAAAACTGTAACAAACAAAAAAATAATATAAAACATTACGTAAGTTACCTAAATATAAAATTACAATTGCTAAATAGAAAATATACATACCCCTTTTTGGGTTTATCGTAATATGTAAACTTGGACGATATTTCAAGATATAATTAAACTTGAAATAATATATAATTTCTATTTAAATCATACATAATACTTCATTATTATAATATTTTATATTTAAATTTATACGATTTACAATAACATGTTCACAACAGATGATTTTTTTATGAACTGACATTAATAAAGAGCATATTGGATTAGTCAAAATTTTTAATTACGAAAGGTAATAAAAATAAATTATGTTGAATATCACAGACAAAAAGTTTGCATGCTGAAACCTAGGACGAAATAAACGGTGGTATGGCACACCGTTACAATTGTTTCGGTCGTTGATAATCATATAAAAATAGTTAGATTTCAAGTTAAGTAACTCAACTGAAGCTGTAAAACCACACCGAGAAGTAAAGAAAACAAAATTTCCTATTATACCGGAGGCCGGGTGAGTCTTTTTCACTCTACTAGAATAGTCATCGCCATCGCAGAATTTTTTAACTCAACTTTTATATGAAGCAAAATGCTTCTAAAAGACCGAGGCACTGCCAGTAGAGGCTTGATCTTTTCAATTTATTGGAGCCATTCCAGCCATGGAGATTTTCCTTAATTATCATCATCATCATCATCATCAGCCGGAAGACGTCCATTGCTGATTATAGCCAAAGCCAATCAAATGGCAGCCAATCGAATCAGAAAATCAATAAAACATCGAAACTGGCGGGTGTTCTAAAAAATGATTCTAAAACTTAATACCAAACTTTTAAAATTGCAATTTCCCTTAAGCTATAGAAGTTAGAGTTTTAAATAAAAATTGTTTCAAACTTTCTATAGAACTAAGTAAATGTTGCCGCATATGAGTGTAACTACTGAGTAATTTCATGCAACTGTGGTACACTAATTTCGATATATTTTACATACATATATCATACCTCACCAACCCCAATTTAGTGTAGGTAAGATACAATTTAGTTAAGAGACTTGAGACCCAACGATGGTTCAACTAGCTGCTAGACTTAGTTTTAAAATTAGTAATGTTATTGGTACATGCAGGACGCAGCCGAGGCGGCAAAGGCTCGTACACGCGCCATCAACATCGACAGGTTCTCCAGAGTATTCTTCCCTCTACTTTTCTCTGTACTCAATGCGACCTACTGGATTCAGTTCGCGCAGTACATCTGACTGGATTTAAGTTAAAACTCATTTTTATAGTTGAAATCACTTATAGTTGAATAGTTCGGTGCATATCTGATGGAAGATGTGTTTCGTTTCGTCAGACGGAACCTCAGAACAGAGGTGCTACCGCCTATCACTCTAGTCGTAGGATGCGACATCTTAGGGAACTTATGGTGATATTTCGTTTCATTTGATCTTATATATCAAACTTTATTAACGAATAACTATATAGAAGGATAATTATTGCATTTGACAGCAGGTTTATCCAACAAAAGGCTTGTCAAAATAGTAAAGTGAAGCAAAATATAGCCATAACATCGGTAATTTGTCTTAAGTGTTTATATATACGTGATAAATTATAATATGACCATATGTGGTCATTGACCACATATGATATTCAAAGTTACACACTCGACGGATAATCCTTTGCGTACTGGCGTACCTCCGTTAGACCCTTGACGACTCTTCCGTCAGATTTGCACATTTAAACTATACACAAAAATTTATTATATTGTTTGACCATCATATTATTTTCACACATAATAATAATTTCTATGGCTCGCGATACATTTTGTTTTCTTTCAACTCTAAAATTATATTTGAGTCATCGCCCGTTTCATTGCCTACCACAGGAACATAATATAGTTAGTTAATATACCTATAAAAAATAGAAACTGCATACGAAAATCTAGTTCGTCCAGGATATTATATAAGAGGTTATTTTTTTTGTTTCTTTATTGGGATTACTTTACACTTGAATTCATTTACATTTGGTTATGTTTCAAGACATAAATAATGTTTCATTATTTATAAGTGTAAAATGTATGTTATTATAAAATATGTTAATTCTTATTCATTAGAACACTAATGGCGCCATTTTTGACAGAAGAAATTAATAACCATTACTTCCAATGTCAACTTAGGAATAAAAGTTTCTCGTGATATTGATTGACCGTCAGTTTCACAAACGTCCATTAAGGCTTAATGACGCCTTCAAGCTCTAATGAATGTCAAATTTGTATGGCTAATGTCGCTTTAAACTAATGAAAACATTAATGGACGTTTGTGCAACGGGCTGATAATCTGGTAATTATTTATGAACAGTTTCATCTAGTATTATAGTTTAGTCCGGCGACTATTTAAAATAAAAGAAAATGAATGTTAAAAATAAACAAAAGTTGAAAAGTGCTTAAAAATAAACTTGATCCCTGGAACCCTGAGATGGGATTATTTTTCAGTGCATCGTGAATGCGAAATTGATCAAATATATAATAGGAATGGTATTAATTCAAAATATTATAAAAAAAATATTTTTAAGGAAATTACTTACATATCGCATTTCGAAAATGAAAGTACCTCAATCCAAAATTTAGGGAAATCTATATAGCCCCATACATTATAGCTTTATGTAACATATGTATTTATTTTGTCGAAATTTAAAAAGAAACTTACATGGGCGTACCCAGGTCAGATGATAAAATAAATGTCAATTTTCCTGGCAAGTGGGAATTAAAAACGTGTACCTACTCTGCGCAAAATGAAGCGTTGGAAACAAAATATCTTCTCAGTCAGTTATTTTGTATTTGTTTTCAGATTTGTATTTTTGTTTCAATAAGTGTACCTGACCGACCATCTTCTCGAAACAGGTATGAGCTGCCCCCCCTCCCTCAGCTTAAATCCTGGGTAGGCCCTTGGAAATGTGTACTTATAAGCGAGATGGGACTCCGACTTATGAGCATCCTATTAATATTATAATTAATATTATAAATGTGAAAGTTTCTTTGTTTGGATGTTGGGATGTTTAGATGTTTGGATGTTTGTACGTCAATCACGCCGAACAGATTGTTGTGATGATATTTGGTATACAGATAGGGTATTAGCTGACTTAGATAATAGGATACTTTTTATCCCACTAAACATTTCCCTAGGGTCACGCGGGCGAAGCCGCTGGCGAAAGCTAGTAATTAATAAAGTAGGTTCTTAACTTATGGGCGCATTTTGAATTAAACTATGTATTCCCAAATACTTCCTAAAGTTTTGAAATGTGTTGAGTACCTTCATTCTTAGGATGCGATGTGTATTCTATTGTTGTAAATAATATTTAATTAATTTTAGAAGCACACTTTAAAACATCTAAGTATGTAAAACATTTGGTAGCTATTTGATATTAAATTAATCACAAGAATATTTAGTTATATGTTACTCATCAGAGAAAGAGTCTAAGCTATGTTATTATTTATGAAAGGCGTTAGAATATTTATTGTAATAATAAGGCGTTTCGTAGATTGCTCTCCGATTTTAATGACTGGCAACCAGCAAAATCCTTGTTTCTATTATTCATTAAATTATTATAAATTCTTCAATATCACAACATATACACATACATATATGTTGTTTTTTTATCCATCTAAAAAATAAGAACCAAATTCACCTAATTATGTACTTTTGGCATATATCCTTAAAAAACTAAGCTTGACTTTATTTCAACGTTCAAAATCAATTTGTGATGGTTTAGGGCAGCAAGTAAAAAATCGACTGTTCCTTCAATTGAAGTCGCATCACATCAGTCAATCGATAATAGACTTTTGATCGATAAAATTAAAACATATATTACAATATTGAGAAGAGCTATAACCGAAAATGTACAAACTGATCTCACTAGTATTTCGGGATCAAAATTATTTACATCATAAGTAATCCATTAAATGCATCAAAACTGTAATAGGAAAATAAATATTATTTGTTTTTTACTGTTGTTTTATTATTATCGTTTCAATACAGAACTAAAGAAGATTCTACGAAACTTGTTCATCCACCAGCGTCCTCATCTGAGCCAGCGGCTAACTCTCTAGTCTTAGGATACGACATCTTAGCGATTTACAACATTAAAAAATCTTAGCGATTTACAACATTAACATGTTTTTTTAACGACTTAAAATAAGGGAGGTTCTCAATTCCACTATATTTTTTTCTTGTTTTTTACCTCATATCTTTTTACTGGGTGGACCGTCTTTGATGATTTTTCCTTTATTTGTCCATTTTTAATATGGTGATGTTTGTGTAGTGCGTGATGTTTGTTACCCCAAAACTCACAATATCAATAAAAACTTAAAAAGAAATGGAACAGGCTTCAAATTTAAAAAAGTGAAATGTTTCAATGTTTCTTAAAACATTTAACCGTTTTTTAGATAAGTATTATTTTTCACTTTTTTAAATTTGAAAGACGGTTCCATTTTTTTTAAGTTTTTGAAGGATAAATTTGTGAAACCATAATCATCATTTATTTATTTGTAAATGTCAAATTAAGAATTGTAATGACTTATAGGTATGTACATCACCATACCGTCGCGACTTGCGACAGTGTCGCATCCTATGGTTAGTCATGATTAAAGAGTTAAGCGATCGCACTCATGATGCTAAGAAAGAACCTTATAGCACCTTAAATATGACTTAAGTTTTAAAAATAAATTATGTAAGGGATAATGAAACTTCAAAAATATTATAATATACATCCAGTATTGTAACATCAATAGCAGTTCTGACTCTTGGGTTTCCACGTCCATCCAGTTTCAAGTTGTATATCAGCTGCCTGAAAATAAAATAACCTTGAGTTTGACTATTTATCGGCTGAGATGAGTTTACAAATTCACGCTTCAACTGAGTTGAAACAAATCTAACCACTTTAAAGATTTAATCTTTAAATTGGCCGCGACGGTTATCTACCTATTGCTTAATTACTAAAGGTGATTAAGGGATTCGGGTCGAGCTTATGTTTAGAGTTTGTGACGAAAAACCATAAAATCCAAGTGAATGAATGAACCACAAAAACAGACCGTACAAGTGGCCTAAAAACCGGTTAAGTACGAACCGGACTTATAATTAATGGCATTTTAATTTCTATTGTAATATGCATCAACTCATCAAAGACTCGAATGCATTTTAATAGTCCCTTTCTAGTACAGGCGAAAAATGGTCAATGACCCAAAATAAAGCTGTGCGTTGATAGCAAACGATGTCGTATCGCTGGACATATAGGTAACTGGGATATAATTCTGTAAGGTTTCCGCAAAGTATTGTTTCTTGTTGTATGGGGCGCTACAGGTCACTGAACCCACTCCGTACAACGAAATGCAGTACTTCGCGAAAATAATTTATAGGTGTAGCGCACAGGTGTACAGTAATCGCTATCAGCGATACATTATCGTTTGCTTCTATTAACTCAACTTGATTTTAGGCCATTGTTCATATTTCGCCTGTACTATTAAGAGACTATAGCTTACTTACGTTTAACATGAAAGTCATACTTTGGGTTACCGCCCGTTTTTTCGCCTTCTCTAGGCTAGACAATATGTAACATCATTTTTAGAGTACCCTGCCTTAAAATGGAACCCTTTAAGGTCCACTTGATAGTTTGTATGTCCGTCCGTTTGTCACAGCTAATTTCTCCATATTCATTGGACCAATTAAATTGAAATTTGTAGGTACACATATGTAGCGTGTGTGGAGCGGGTGGATACCAACAAATCGCAGCAGATGAAGATGTTTGAGATTATAATTCTTTTATTCATATCATAGGTGCCATGGACCGAAGATGAAAATACTGGGAGAACAACATTACAAACTTTCGTGAACCTAGATTCCGAAACATATAAGAAGGGCAGCCTGGTCCAAAATTTTGACATTAATTTCGATATTTAGTTTAGTGGAAACAATTTCTTATACTGCATGGTCCGTTAAAAGTGCAAGGTTTGTGTTTTTTCAAAAAAGTGTTGAATGTAAAACGTAGGTAAATTGAGGAAAGAGACAATTACGCATAACTGTGAAAGCTATTTGATTATTAATTTTTAGTAAACGATCAGCAACTGTTTTATTACTTTTTGTTCAGTGAATTAATTAAATTCATCACAAACTAGAGAGTCTAAAAGTGAAAGGGACTGTTTACAAATAATTTTAATTCCTGGAGCTAGAGCATTAAATTTGAAATTATAGATTGACTGTGCCCAGAATATAGAGCTCGCATTTACTAAACTTTAATTATAACACTTCATTAATTTCAATAAAATAATTTGCTCTAATAATGTCGGTATAGAATTTGAGCTAGAATAAAGCGATTACAGCACTTTCAGATTCAAGTAAAAATTCCTGCAACCCGTGTCAAAACTAGTTAAGTTTATTAAGGAATGATCAGATTGAACAGTGGTGCGGCCGCCCTCTAGCTCTCTAGCCACAGGATATGACATCTTAAGGAATATAATGACTTTTGATGAATAAATTTGCCATAAATGACTAAGTTGGAAACACTGCTATCATCTAGATTAGCTAAATTCATCAATCTTTATAATTCACTCGTCGTTATTAGAGTATATGTTGAAGTACTAAAATGAAATGAAATAGCGCAATAACATCGCTAAGATGTCGTACATATCCTATGGCTAGAGTTATAGCCAGACGATATAGGCGGTCGCTTTGCAGATAAAAATAACTAGAGTACCATAGTGGCTTAGGAAATACAATTGACGGACACGAATCACGTCTATCTACCTATAATGTTATTGAAAAATAGTAAGTTATAAATTCACCTACTGTAGCCGATATAGCATCATATTTTTTGTTAAATTAAACTATATTGAATACATACATGGGTACTTCAGACCTTTTAAAAGTTTAAAGTTCAGATCCGAAACGTTATGATTAAAAATATGAACGCGTTACAGCTGTTCAAAATAGTAGTGGGCGTGACATTATAAGAAATCAGTATATTTTTTGTATTTGAAATTATTCTATGGAAAATTCGTTTGCATAAGTAGTCTTTCACCTTTAATTATTGTTATATGAATTCTTATTGGAAACAAGAGCTTTTTGAACAGCATAGCGGGTAACGTGACTATTGACTTTCATATTATATATTAATGTCCGTGTAACTTAGATGAAGAACTTAAATAGCATGTTGAAATAAGGCGTGTAATGGATAACAATGGAACTATTTTTGTTTTTGTAAGTATTTGTTTTGCTAAGTAATTATTTATCAATAGTTAGAGGAAGTTTTCTAGTCGACGCGTTTATTTTTAGGGTTCCGTAGTCAAAGGCTAAACGAGACCTATTACTAAGGTTCCGCTGTCACTCCGTCTGTCACCAGGCTGATAATGCACATAGTTATAATTTTTAGAGATTTTTTTTCTGTTACAAAATATTGAATGATATCGTACTATCGTTAATTTGACGTTAATTGGAATTGTCTAAAAGCATTAGATAAAAATATTACTATGAAAGCCATTGAGAAATTTCATGCGAAGGAATTGAATGCTTCGACGGGTTTAGATAAGTATTAATATCATTGGGAAAAAAGCCATAACTCATCACGCGAATCTAAAGAGAAATGTGGATGCACTGTAGTTGCAACCATAACGTACTCTTTCTTCAATGTTATTGGGTTTAAAATTAACTCAGTCAGATAGTCTTTTATATTTATTCCCCCTCCTCAATTGAACTTGTTAACTTGTGTTCTGTGAATTCTGTGATTGTATGTTGTAATCATTGTGTCGTAATGATATAATTCAGTGAAATGTCAAAAGGGATGTCGTACTTTGGGCACTTTGCATATTCCATTCGAGGCAAATATTGTTCAATTAAGAAATTCACCAATTTAAAATATGAAGAATGGAACGTTGATTGCGTTGAGGTTGATTGATTGATTGATAAATTTGCGATACGAGCACGTTCCGAATCAAAATCATACATATCAGTTTGCAATATCCTGCATTTCGTAGTAGACGCTCGCTCGTTCAATAAAATAAACATCGCATCAAATATTGTTTAGTTTTAAAATATTTTTCTTATTAAATTCGGATTTAATTTATGGTTAATCATCGTGTCAATTTGTATGAGGTAAAAGAAATAAGTTCAAGTTCACGGCCTTTGCGCGATTTCATTATTCCGAGTGTGTTCTGTGCTGTCACCGCAGCTGTCACTTGTTGCTTTTTTTAACGTCAGTCGGTCATCCGATGACGTACTGTTTGAACGTCTGAGTTCGTTGCCGGCGCGGGCTTCTAGCAATTTGCTTCAAATCGCGTTTATTCAATTACAAATTATCATCTTATATACGTACGGATGCGCAGGAGCAAGAGGCAGTTGCTTTGCCCACGACCGGATATAGTGAATCAAATTTTATTTAGTTTAAAAAAAGTGGTTGCCGCTGAGTGCGTTCGCAGCGTTTGTTTTGATTAAAAATTGCAATTGTTTTGTATTAAATCTACTGTGAGTCAGCAATAAAAATGAAAATGCAGAATGCCAAAGAAGAAACTTCAGACGACGAGTCTGGATTGGGCTACCAGAACACATTGGTATGTGTAGTACTAAGTATTAGAACTTTTATTTCAACTTTCTAGTTTCTAGAAAAGTTACGCGTGCAGTTCATTGACTGTTTCCTGGTTTCCAGGCTACTTATTAAATTTATGCAGAAAGACTTGCGCAGTATAAAACTGAAATAATAAAATATTAATTAAGATTTACGTAGTTACAGCTGCTATGCTAATTTAATAAATAAACAAGATTTTAATCAATGACATACACTGTGATTCAAATGTGTCAAATAAATTTTATTACAAGTTGCATTTTTCAAAAAGGATTTTAGCTTATTTTTTAGAGTATATTCTCTGTTTTAGGCTTATAAAAAAGGTCTAATATTATATTGACATGAAGTTTTCATAATAAGTTTTACATGGTGTGTGCTTAAATACTTAATTGATCCATAGTCATCTTTAAAATAAAAATTAATAAATTATATTTAAATAAACAAACATCACTTTAAATTCTAATACATTTCAATAAATGTGAATGTGCCCTAATTTTGCACTAATAATGCAAATGGTATAATTTATTACAGTACTTATAATAAACTTCTCTCAGTGTCTTCTTTGTCTGTTTGGACTTTGAATCATAACCTCATGTTGGCCCAGAAAAGTACTCAGCCTGATTCTGGTTTTTCATCTGTTCAGCCACATGGATTTCAACAAACAGGTATCTTAACAAATGTAACAAATATTTAACATACTTGATAGTTAGCAACTCTTATTGTTTACTCAATAAGGAATAATAGGAGTTCTTTTGAATACGTAACAAAAGTAGTCCTTAATAGTTAAAGCTATAAAGTATTTTTTGGTATGAACATATATTTCCTGGTAGTTATTAAAATGTTACATGACATTATAAGAAAGTCGATACTGTGCCCTATAATTAAATACTATGAAAAATGGAAACTTTCTTCTTTCACAGGCTATGGTTTTAATAAAAAATAAATTTGATTTATTTTGCTGTTCTCGTAATGGGTATGACGGGTTTTCAATGTCCGACAGTTGCAACATCAAGCTACAGCATCAGTGATAAAAATTTATGTACACCACCAATGAAATAATATACTGATCTTTAGAGATTATTATTTGTGGTAGCAAGTGCCTGCCTGTCAGTAACATAACAATACAGTAGAAAATCAGACAAAAATCTATTACTTCAGGCCATGCAGGTACTAAAGATGATTGAGAAAAGACATACACTCATCTGTAAGCTGAAATTTAAAAAGAAAAAGAAAATTTGGTCATAGACACATGGACAGTTGTAAACAAATAGTCCGAAATTGCTGCTTTTCCACCCTAACATGTGACATATGTGATTTTCTGTCTCTTTCTAATTAATTGTTTTCCTTGCTAATCTGTAATAGCTATGGGACCAATTTTTCAGGTAAGGCCATGTAATCTCAACATTTATGTAATTCCAATGAATTTCAAACAGAACCTACAGGCTTTTTCTAGTTACATGAAGTTCTTTATTTAAAAAGAAAAGTCTTGAAACTACTTAGAGGGAACAGCTCTCTCACAAATTAACAGTTTTCTAGTAATTAGGGACTGTAATTGTTGGTTATAAAATTTAACATTGAAGCAAACACTCTTCAAACTGATCTAATTAATTAAGTACAATTGTTATCTTAATTAGGTATGTACAAGTTGTTATCAGTTGATGGTCTCTTTATGATCATTGTTGATTTGTGCTTGAGCTGTACTTACAATTAATAATAGTCTTGTGCACACAACACCATGTCAAGTTACTATGAAATAATGTTTTCAAATTAAATTTGAACTTAACTGTAACCAAATAAACCTTAAAATCAAACAGAAATTTAACATTTTTATTATATCCTGATATTGAACACAGTTTCTAGACATCTTTGTCTAATTGTAAGACTCAAAAGGGTTTAAGTCTAAAAAAATGTTAATCCACCTCAATCACACCCTATCAGTATGCTTATCAAAATTAGTCCAGCCAAATGAACAGATAATAAAGATTAACCGTCTTAAAATTATGACTTACTTTAGTACCACATTTAGACCATTATCCAACCAGTCAATGCGTTTCAACTTGATGTTTTGTCTTCTGCTATTATCAATTAGCTGGTTAATGTTTCAAATCAAATACTCACTTTAACCCTTGTTTTATATTAAGACAGTAATTATAAATCATTTAAAATGCAGAAGCAAAATTTAAGTTTCTTCAAAAATATTGAGAAAATAAAGACATATATAAATAAATAAATATTTCAAAGTCACCTTAACCCATTAATGTCATATTTGTTTTATTGGATAAGCAATCACTAAGAAAACATATTATTATTAGTTCACCAACTAGGTATCTGTCAAAAGTTAAGCAATGTTCAAGAATAAATAGCTCCATGAGTTATTTATTTTTGAAGATTGTGAGAAAACAAAAAAAATAGTTCATTTGCATTTAAACATTTAAAAAAAGATTGTACTCACAGCAGCACATCAAAATAAAATTTTCAATTTCCGCATTGATTTGGAACTTAATTTACAAATTGTTAAAGCTCAAAATCAATTGTAATGTAGACTTGACATGCAATAGAAAATGTTGGCAATTTGCCACTGTTTGGCGAATATCGCTCGCTCTAGCCTCATCATTATTAGCTCATTAGAGTCCCCACTCTTGGGGCACAGACCTTCCCTTTTACGGAATCACATGGGCAGCATTTCTCAAAGTGTGCTCTGCGGAGACTTAGGGCCCTCAAAGTAATTTTGGGGATCGACGAAAATATAGGTAATTAAAAGTAGGTAAGTGTAAATATATAGTTTCCCAAGGGAAACCCTTTTCCCAAATAAAGTTTGAGAACCGCTGACAGGTATATTAACGCATCACGCAGTCCCAGTGCGGTGACTGTAAAGGTAACGATTGCTGATGCGTCTGAGATCATCAGCTTCACGTTTCTACCAAAGCACGGTTGATATCGAAATAAATTTTCGCGCACCCACCCGATGGTAACCTCGTTACCATTGCGCAATCGAGATCCTTTTTCTTATCTCGTTATTGTTACAAACGCTTCTCTTTATTTTTGCACTATTTTAAGAATAGTGTATAAACAAAACTATAAGAAATGCACAGAATAAAAGTTATAAGAAACCAAAGCATATAATAAGATTATGTAAGTGAGCCTTCTTATCACTTAAAGAGAGTTAACTTATCAAGAGAGTACTTGTTATCATCAGAATTTAGAGATACCTAAAACATTTATGTTTCAAATTTGAAACATAGTGTAAATAACAATTAGATAATTGATTTTGTCATCTCAATCTAAGAAGTGATGTATGTATTTCGGTATGACCACTTCATAGAATGCCTAAAGGTGAACGTCCATCGTGTCCGCACGCATGCAACGGATGCATTGGTCGCAACGGATGAATTTCGTCTAGTAAATTAAGTCATGAATTTCGTCTAGTAAGACCAGTAAGGTATCATAAATTAGAATTTGTGTCTGTCCTTTATTTTGTTTTACTAAATTTGGGGGAAAATGCCTTTATTTGAAGTAATCAATCTTCTTTGATAATTATTTCATTACAAGGCTGCATTTAATTCATATATCCACTACGTATTTGCTTTCATTATTGAGCCATTAAAATTATTAAATACAAAAGTACATGCAATGATTAATTAGGTATTTCAAAAGATACGTTTTGATACTTAAAATGAAAGTAGTAAAGGTTAAAATTAAAATCGGAATTCGGAGTATTTCTTCATCGAAAGTAGATCAAGAATATGAAATGCATTCTGAACAAATTATGCGTTTTGTTATTTCTTGACTGAATGCTTTCAATTATTATTCCTTTCGTTTATTTCAATTTGTTTGTCACACTTGTAAAGATCGAAATGCTATGACAGAGTATTATTTCCATTTATATTAAGGAATAATATATAATATTATGTAGTAAGTAAACAAAATAACGAGTAAATACGCAATAAAGAAATCTCTTTAGGAAGTGTTAGTATATCCATGACAATCGCGATTTTCAATGACATTGGCATTCACTAGATTAAAGTTTAACTATAATCTTATCATTATTTATGTGTAACATTTAACGATAGCGCGTCACATGATACCTACTTGTCACTGTTATTTTATAACGGTGATTATAATCAAAGAATTTCGACAGTGATAAAAAATTATCTTAGATTCTGAGACCTACAATAAATCTATCAATGCAAATAGTAATGTAGGAAAAACAGTTTTATACTAGTAACAAATTAAGGTGCAGATATAGGGTTTTAGAAAATATCTAATAAAAATTATATGCACATGAAATACATAATTCGTAAAATAAAACGGTTAAAGCATATTTTGTAATTTATACATATAGACGATGTAGTACCAATAAGCCTTAACTGATGTTTTCGCTACAATTTTCTTTTTTAACGTTTGAGTTTAGTCTTTAAATTCAAACGTTAGAAAAGTTAATTTATCGAAAAACGACAAAGTTAAAAGGTGTTCTATAAAAAACAGCGCCGAACACAGCGCTTTCGATATACATATTAGAGATTCGTTAAAAATACCGTTTTACTTTTTGATGTACGTTTTATTTGATCGAACCTCTAACGTTGTTAATAAAATAGCACTGCTGAATGTGTTCTTATTAAAAATATACTGTTTTATGCGATGATAAATAAAGCAGTTTTATACAGGGTCACTGCCGTTTATCATTGCCTTAACAGAAGAAGACTGACAATCGAAAAACGCGAGTCTACGATCTATTACACACAAATTACCTATTGTTTTTCATCCGAGAATATTATTCCACAGCAAAGAGTGTTATGTGTTGATCGAGCATCTGTTTGTTATTTACTACTGTGAAAAATTAATTCAGTTCCTTTGATTGTAATGCGATTTTGTCGTTCTATGACGAATTTACATTTATTTAATGTGCTGATTAAAATGCTTCATAATAATTGTACGAAGGACTTCTTTTTAATGCTATTATTGATTTAAATGATTATTTGGATACCTATT